GAGCATCCATCTAAGTGTGTGTCGCCACAGAGTCCCACTGAGGGCTGTGGCGTGATCCCCATCGAGGGGCGCAGCATATGCATAGACCCAGATCCTGGGGGGAATCACACTGACTCCTCCTCCGGCCCTGCTTGTGACCATCATCCTGACTCCCACTAGCTTACGTTTTTGCACGAGATTGCTGATTTCACGCCGCAGGGCTTACTGAGATCAAAACTCCAGCAAGGCTCTTCACATTCTGCTAGGTATTCACATGCGTGCATCACGCTGCTAAGTAATCATAGGCGGGGTTCACAGTTTCTCACTTTTTGTTGCGCAGTTCTCATGTCTCTCTTTTCGGTGTGACTACCTGTGGGATGCCATGAACTACCCGTGGACTTCTCCGCCTCCATCCTTGACGGCCCCTACGGCATCCTATGGTCCGGCCCCGCCTGCTCAGTATCATGCTCTACCGCCTCAACCACATTTTGCACCGACGATGCCACAGCCATACTTGACATCCCACCCCTATCCAATTCAAAAACAGTCTTTCCCACCGGTAGCTCCTTCGATAATTCCACCTACGTTTGCATCCCAACCTACATCCTCGATGATTCCACCGGAAGTATGTCTTGTACCAGCTTGGGCACCCACTATGATGACCACCCACACGCCACAACCCCCTATGACCTGGCCTTGTCACCATCCAGTCCCTGCTACACCAGCTTCATGCCCTCCCATTCGGCACCACCACACAACCCATCTACACCTACACCTCCTCCGGGGCAACCCCAAGTCGTCCCCGACTGTCACACCGTCTGACCTGCAGCCAGGTCCCTCCCAAGTCTTTGCCTTAACTTTGATCCTCTAGCAAGGGCTTCTGTTCAACAGGGGGGGGGCCCTGACCTCCTCCAGGTTACGCCTGATTCCCTGCTACCTTTCGTTCACCCCCTCCTCTCTCAAGTTAGCATACAAGTTTGAAGTGGATACTCCTATGGCAATTGCGACGTTCAGAATGCTATTCACACTATCCAATCTAAAGAATTCAACGTTGTTTCTTTCAAAGACCATATCAACGTCGCCTGTGGTGTCAAGGTTATTAACATTGATGGAAGAGGGAACGCCAGTGTTTAAACCCGTCGTCGCTTTCAAGAAATTCACTCCGTTCTCATCATTGGTCATCACCAACGCGTTTGTAGTCTCACCATTGACACAAAACCTGTGTTCTTGTGTGGTTATGCCCGTTGATGGTAAAAGGACATAATTGATGAAGTTGCCACTATCCAGCGTCTCTCTGATGTATGAGTTCGTGTGTTGAAACTCTAACTTACTGTTCAATGGCATCGTCAGCAGTGAATTTGTGATGAGGTTTCTATTGAAGATGAAGTTGTCCATAGATTGTTTATTATAGGTGAGTATGTCCGTTCCGTTATGTTTGAAGACTATGTCATTGAGGTTGTCATAACTGTCAAAGATGTTGTTTTTTATTACTCCTGCGCTGTCCAAAGCCTTTCCTACAACCAACTTGTCGTTCGTATGGTCGTAGGTAAGGACGCTGTTGTTCGCAAAGTTTTTAACCACCAAACTCTGATTAACCAATCTGGGCTTTATGCTTTGACACTGTATGTCTGTGGTGATGTCCAACGCCGTCGTTATTTGACTTGCCGTAATGGATTGAGCACCGTTTGTTCAATCCGCTTTGTTGTTGAGCAACGCATTCGTTTCGGTTTCTGTGTAGAAATTGTTATTGACGTATGTTGTGTCCGCTTTGTTGGCGAGTACTCCATCTGTTGCCGTTTGAGTGTAGAAGTTGGTATTGACGTAGGAAGTGTCCGCTTTGGCTGAAAGCATCGTGTTTGATTGCGCGTCCATGTATCCAAAATCCGTCACCTCCACCGCCTCCACCACCTAAAGAAGGTATGTCGGTCAGTTTCTTCAGTTGCCCGTCGTCGGGGTCAATCATCCTAATCTCGTACGCTTCAATGCTTCGGTTTATGTTGTAATAATTTGCCATCTATATGTTTAATGTGAGAAAGAAATGATAATATTTTTTAGATAATAATATTATCGTTCCTTAATCGTAAAATATTACCGATTGAGCCTTGATGTCTAAAATACATTCGTGTTCAATGACGATATACATTTTATCAGGCATCAGTGCCGTATCAGTCCCGTTGTTTTCTGTGTAGAGTTTCGTTCCATACAGTGGCTTTACACGGACGACCATAATTGAATTGTTCTTCAAATTTAGTCCTGTATAGTTGGCGCTGTTTAACTTCATTAGGTTGAACCCCGCCAAGAACGAGTTAGTCCTATACATCTGTGGTTTGATTGAGACGTGGTTGTTTCTAGTTTCTTGTAGGTGCTTGTAGTTGTCGCACACTCCCTTCGTAGGCATCTCTGGAATGACGGTGTTTCCGATGGATAGTTGAAAGGATATGTCCAAGTCGTCGTAATAGTCTTGTCTGTTGTGCGTCTCGCTTTCCCACGCCAAAGGATGGTAGAGAAGGTTGTGTGCCTTGAGAACTTCCGGAAAGCCACCTTGATAACCGAAGTTAGAATAGAAGGAGATGAAGATGTTGTCTGACTGCCTTTGAGACATTGCGAACGATGGTGGTGAAGATGTCGGTGCTTCTGCTCGTGGTTTGAGTTTGGACTGATACACTGTTAAAGGTGATTGGCAAGGATTGTTCTTCCAAGATTTCCGCGTACTCGGCGAACAAACCGTCATCAAGTCTATGAACGTCAGCGGTGATGATGGGCGCTTCAATGTTCCGCGTTAATGATGTGTTCGTAGTGGTGAAGTCGCCTCCTACACCAACTAACGCTTCGGTGGCATCCAACACCAAAGTTATGACAACGGAATAAAGTTTGAGACGTTGAAGAAGGGACAGGAAGGACGGTAATGAACGGTCTTTTTGTTCTTAAAGCCTCTGAAGTTCTGCGTATCAACGTGTTCTCTGGTTTGATGCCAAGTGTTTGCACCAGGGTTTGTTGTGGATTGAAGGAAGCGGTTGCCTTCATTGTAGAAGGTCTCTCCAAAGCCTAAATTGTCGGTATAGTTTCTTGAACCGTCGTCTTGTAAAATATCAATCATTGCTTCGTATCTATTCAGGTCAGGAATTTCAGCAATGACATTTGAACCAGCCATCACCCGCATTCATTGGAAAAAATTTGCTGGCATGTAGGCGGGTCTCAACCGTTTTGTTCCGTTGTTGTCGGCGTTCAGCAGTGTAAAGCCTATCAAAAGACTTCTCAAATTAATCCATTCGTTCGCTCCTCCTGTTAGATTGAAACGGATGACCGAGTTAGAGTTGGATGAATAGGTTGAAACCGAAGAAGGGTAGAATGTCTTGATGCGTTTGTCTCTGATATAACTTGTTCCACCCTTCAGTCTGTATCGTAAGACGTTTTCGTTAAGAACATCTGTGATTTCCAATGCTTCCATATTTATATGTTTTATATATAGAAAGTTATTTAACTACGTTAAATCAAAGTTATATTGCTTAAGTCTATTTTTGCCTGCTTTCTTCTTTCTGTCTTCATGTCTCTTCATCCTCATCTTTTCCTTCCCTTGCACGCACTTTCATCCGGACCTTAGCTTGTACACATACACGCACGCGTATTCTACTTACAACGAGGTTCAGGTGGCCCAGGTTTGTTACAATGAGGTTCGGCTCATCGGTTGTCCCTCTTCACTTGGTTTTTCTTCATCGGCAACCACACACACTTTTTGTCTGTCTGGTCTTTCTCATGTTCATCTGTCTCTTTTGCGCGCACATGTGTTTCGCATAACCCCCTTTCCGGGCAGGATGGGGGTGCCTCCTTTCCGGGCAGGATGGAGGCCACGCATACCTCCTTCGGGGGGGGGGGGTGTGTAACCTTTGAATCACAAGGCTCTTTTTGGAGTGTTACCCTTTACAGCAGGGGACCACGCCAGATACATCGTCGCCTGGTCAATGAAGCTGGCGATGTATCTGAGGATATGGAAATGGGACGCCATTTCCACGTACCTACTCCACTATTGAGGAAAACAGAAGGAAATGGTACTCGACACACTTGTGTGTCGGTGCCTTTCTTTCTGATTTTCCTCTCTTCTACCCTATAGGTTTGCAGGTAGGCCTCCAAACTTGTAATGTGGTCCTTCAACCTGAATTCTTTGGCCTCCACCCACTAGCGACGACCTCCAACCTTGCTGCTCGCTGTTACTCTTGTTTTGCTTGTGCATCGACGGCCTCCAACCTTAGGTGTTGGCCCCAACTTCCTTGCAATGGCCTCCAACCAAAAAAGCAATGGCATTTAACTTACTACTTGTCACTTTTGTTTTGCTTGTGCCTACTACCTACCACCTACTAGCGACGGCCTCCAACCTTAGGTGTTGGCCCCAACCTCCTTGCGATGGCCTCCAACCAAAAAGCGATGGCCCTTAACTTACTACTTGTCACTTTTGTTTTGCTTGTGCATACTGCCTACCACCTACTAGCGACGGCCTCCAACCTTAGGGGTTGGCCTCCAACTTCCTTGCGATGACCTCCAACCTAAAAGCCATGGCCTTTAACTTACTAATTGTCCTCCTGGTATTTCATAACCGATTTCAAGTCAGTACGCATGTCAATAAGTGTGTGAGGGGGTGGGGGTGGGGGGGTGGGAGGGTGGGTGGGGTGGGATAATGGAATGATTGGCCCATGGCCAGGTTAAGCCCTATATGTAGTGGTAGAACATGCTGGCACCTAACCGTTGTGTCAAATCCATCACTGTAGATGTTGTGCTCACCTCAAGCCCGACGCACAAGCGATCCAAAACCTGATGCACAAGTCATTCCCTCCAATCTACTAGCGATGGCCTCCAACCTAATAGCGATGGCCTCCAACCTAGAAGCAATGGCCTCCAACCTAGAAGCGATGGCCTCCAACCTAGAAGCGATGGCCTCCAACCTAGAAGCGATGGCCTCCAACCTAGAAGCGATGGTCTACATAAAGTTTGCCGGTGGACTCACAACTGCAAGGCTTTAGGCTCGATGCCGTGCGAAAATTGAAGTCCTTGATCGACTTACCCATGGAGTCCTGAGCCACTCGCAGCTCTTCTACACTGAGAGAGGGCGAGCTGATCCGACATGCTCATCTGACAGTTTGGCTAAGGCCCCCTGCAGCCCAAATGGTCTCCATGGCAGGCACGATCTCTGAGACATCCGTGCCCGGACGCAAGAAGCCCAGACGAATAAAATCGTTGGCAATTTCCTGTCAACCAATGAAGGAAGGAGCTGATCTCTGCCTTCTTATCGAGAGCAAAAAAAATAGCTTCAAAAAAGAAAGCGACCTTGTAGTCCGAGTTTGACACGTGGGTGATGGCACCAATTAGGACCTCACTACTATTATGCTAGTCTTTTCAATGCTGGCATCATCAGCAGTGTAGTGAAGTAGTATCCAGCGGTCACTACAGCATGTGAATAAGTTAGATTGCAAGAGCGACAACCACAGAGAGCAGATCATCGCAGCTGGACTATAGTACCCCCTACCATTTCTTGGCTCCCCACGTCCCGCTGGCTTTCCGAAATGTTTGCAACATTGCCAAAGTCAACGTATGCCATCCTGAAATGTATCTCAATGGCTTGGACAGTCAAATTTATAACCAGTTTTTGGAATCTGTCTAAAAACCTCTCTTCACATAGACATAGATGAATCACCTTGTACACCACTGAGCTAAAGAGACTGGCCCAAAATAAGAACCTTACAAAAACCAGACCTGCGACCTCAACATCAAGCTTGAGTTTGATTCTTGTCCTGCCATCATTCATTGCAAATATGTTGCCAGCATGTGGGTCACCATGAAATAGTCCAAACTCTAGCAGTTGCCGCAAGGCAGCCTCCGACAATAAGTGCGAGGCTTCTCCAATCATTTCTTGAAGCTAGGGCTACAAGAAGGACCCGCTTCCTTGCCCTCCCCTAGAAGAACAAAAACCATGTGCTTGGAGTGGTAAAAAGGTAGAAAGGGCTTCAAGGGCGCAGTGGCAACCCGAAGCTGTCAAGAGTCTACATCCGCCAAGGAGTCACTGCCTTGAGTCGTGCAAAGAGGGTCTGATGTTCTGCTGAAAAGTTCAGGTATACCGCCTGAACTCCATTCCTGATGAACTCGTTGACATCGATACCGCGCCGCCTGTATGTGAAGCTTGCTCTCCACACAACATACATGTACAAAAAGAACAAGTAGAAGCAAGTGGTCCTTGATTGGGGACAGAATGCATCGTACTATTGATCAAATGTTGCCTCAGGCCAGAAAGGTCGGTGCTCTTCAGGCCGTCGATCCACCTGTGAGAGGGCATGTGGCATACTACAAACTTGCAAGTTTCTGGTTCTAAGCGCACTGTCAAATTTGTAAAAAGAAAAAACTTCTCAAGTACTGAGGAGCCCCGCTCCATTGTGATGACCTCAGAGAAGCTTGCCATGTTGAGAGCAAATCTTAGTTAGCCTCTTGCTTGCGGGTCAGCTTCTGAGAGATACTACGTCAGCAGTCTCAAGTCGGTCAAAACGAGGGCTTATGTGGCCTGTGTGAAATAGTTTGTTGCTCATTTGTCCAAATGCTGAAGCAGTGCTGTATACTTAGGTCCTTGCCTTTTTGCTGACATACTGCATAAAGACCTGAAAGTCGATGTTCTTCACGGGCAAGGTTTCTAGCTTCTAGCAGCAAAAGGTCAACATGATCAAATCGCAAGGTGCCGAGCTTTGGGAATCTTGACAGTCGGATCTTGTCCAAAGTTCTCCGCAAACTTCTGAGCATTTTGGGCCTCCTGGTAGTAATTGGCTTCCTGGCTGCTTCAGCAGTGCAAAGTTTGTGGAAGACTTCCGCGCAAAGGCACAGGTTCAGACACTCTACGGTGGCGCTCACGTCGACTATTGTCCCATCCACACAAGAAAGTCCAAAACGGTGCAACGGACAACAGGCCAAACGGTGTTCAAAGGCACAGGGAGATTCAGAAACACTCCAAAAGACACGGTCCAGCTGTGCGCCTCCCACAGCTTCGAGGCAAACTCATCAACAACGAGCGTCACATTACAACCCAAATGCCTTGCTTCGTGCCGAGGAATATCTGGAATGAAATCAAATGCAAACCTTCTAGCGATAGCGAGAAAGTCAGCAGCACAGAGGCTTTCAAATTGTAAAAAAATGTTCTTCTGTGAGAAGAACAATGTGTGGCAATGCATAAAGTTCAGTAAAGCTGCCGTCGGGCCCAACTGTTAAGCAACTCGGAAAGCCTGCGGTCGCCAGCAAGTGTCAACAAAGAAAGGTAGCAGGAATGATTGTATGTGTCATCCACAATGTCAAATTTGTCCAACAATGCGTTCAGTCTCAACACCCCTACTCTCAATGGTTTTCCCTTGGAAGCCGAGAGCCTGCATTTCCCACCCACTCTGATGCCTTCGGAAAATGAACATGTCCAGAATCAAACTATCCTGGTGGAACAGGAGGAAACTTGGCAGAATCTCACACTCTTCTGAACTTAGACATTTCAGAAAGAAGCTCTGACGGTCCTTGAGTCCTGGTCGCTGAACCTCTGCTTGCGGCTTCTATAAAAATGTTACCACAATCAAATTCAATCGGTGATTATCGGATTGGCTTCAACACGTGTCTCCTGTGGCTTTCTAAAATACCTACTTCAACAGGTCCAGGCTAAGCTTGATTAAGCTTGTACAAGGAGCTGCAGTACTACAGTAGCTTCTTGAATTGAGAGTAGCATCTTGCCTTCACTGCCACCTCCTCGCCGTTGCAGCGGAGTCGGCCGCGGTACACCTTTTGAGGACTTCCAAACTGAGTGGACAAGACATCTGGATGCATTCACCTCAAGCAGCTTGCCTGCCCTAGTGATGCTGCAGCGACAGGCCCAGCGGTGATCTCTGAAAATATCTGCTTCGGGTCCTAGTTCGGCGACGCCAAGTCTGTGGTGCACTGAAATGTTAAGTCCAATAAGTCCATCAGCTTGCTCCAAATCTCTCTCTTTCAAGCCGTCCTGGCCCAGCTCTGTTTGAATGATCGACATAGCCTCACTGGACGGAAATGGAGGTACCTTGTCCTGCGAGGTTGGTGCAACTGTCGCTTTGTAGCTCCCATACGCAGTTGGCTCTGGAGTGCTCAAACTGTTCCCGGACAAAAACTTCAATATTTAGAGCGCACACTGCACACCCACTCGCACCTGCAAAGCTTCGAGCTCAGCCTTTGGGCATTGAGTCTGACTCATCAATCTATACATGTTCAAGCCAAGTGCTTGAACTTTGCTAGCGTAATAGCATAATTAACGTCGCACACCGCACTTCAGCAGGTGAGCACAGGTCATTCAAGGTGTCCATGCTGGATTTGAGTGCATCACCATATAGTCATCCCTGATGATGTCTGGACGATTGGCCAGCGCCTGGAACACATGCAAATCTTGTATCCAGCTGTCTCCCTCCCATTTCCCCACCAAAAAAAAGAAAACATCACACAAGCACCTGCTGCCTTGTTGAAAACTGATGGCGCTGGGTCACTCTATATAGACACGCGCCACGCGCAGGAATGGTGAAACCGATCGGATTTGCAATGACAAACTGCTTTGCGACCCCAGAAGGAGGCCCACTCAGCTGAGGGGAATGGGTTAACTTCCAGCATATGCTATTGACTGTCCAGGTTTTTGTCCATATCACAGGTATGGATCTGCCTCGTTTTCAAACCTAAGGGTGTGCAGGGAAATGAGATCTGCAAGCTACAGCTCGGTGTTGATTGGCTATGTGTTCGGACATATTACGTGTTGCACATTTTAAAAAATAGAATAAATAAATGCTGTGTCCCTTGTGTTGATAGTTTTGGCTGTTTCATTGGCGAGTGTATTTCCCAGTATGGTATAAAGGTTGTTGGACTTCATGTGTTTTCATGTGTTCTATGCGACTTAACCTTGATAACCTGGTATCGGTGGCATCTCAGAATTTCTCCAAGGGCTGGACCAAATAAGCATGTGCCAACTTGCAGGCTGTTCTACCCTCAGCTGGATTACTTAAGGATTGGATGATGTCGACGTTAAAGCTAAAATCTGTGTAGATGTTCATGGTCTTATCCGGGAAATTTGTCCATGTATTGCGGGTGAATCATTCTACTGAATGGAGTTCCCCTCGGTTGATCGTTTGCTGACCTTTGACATGGGAAGACTGGACAACGAGAAACTCCTCAAAGTCTCGGAACAAAATCAATCATGTGAGGCATTCTTCAACGAGGCGGGCCTCCCTTGAAGAAGCCTGAGTCTTTCTGCATCCCATGGTTGCAGCCCAACATACTAGTAGGTCGCCTACTTAGCCCTCTTACTGCTAGCTTGTTAGCTACTTAAGCTTGCCAAGGCCTACAACCCCTGCAAGATATTTCCCAGCAGGAGACCCCACTTGACACACATATTTTGAGGGCACGCATATGAAAGCGCACACATGAGAGCACGCACACTTTGGACATGCGGCTCGTTTTCAAGATTGGGAAAAGTATGGAGCGAAAGCTTCGTTTTGGCATCTCGAATGTGTCTTTTGGAAGTGCTCATGTTGCGGAAAGCACGGCGAAATCTTCACGTCAAGGTACAATCAATCGCTCTGATCGCCTGCACCTGCCACAAAAAGTTGACTTCAGACACACTTTCAACTCCCCCAGTACCCACCTTAACATACGGTAAAGGGCTGGTAAGGGAGGCGCTCGTTCAGACGGACGTCCGCAAGTCGTGCCACCCCAAACCATGAGTTTTTCGTTGCGCTTTTGACGAAAAGTAACCAAGTCCGAAAATGTGAACAACAACGAAAGAGAAGTCGAGGAAAGCACCCGCTTCAGCCCACCAGTGTTTGTGCAGGTCTTCGCGCCCAAATGCAGCGGAATAGCCATACACGGATGCAAGCACCCTCGATCAACCCAGCCTCAACTATATTGGTACCTAGCTTCCCTAAAAATCTGGGAACCAAATCATTAGTGCGAGCGCGTCTTCAAGGAAGCCACCGGCCCTCAGGTGCGGGGAGCTTCCTTGAACAGTTATCCTGCGTCTGCGTCCATACTAGTAGCTTAAGTAGCTAGGAGCAAACAAGTTTGTCCCTTACTTAATGAAGTAGGTAGTCTCTACTTAATTAAGTAAGGAGGCAGGGGCCCCACGGGCTAAAAAGAGAAAGGTCTGTGGGTCAGTCCACACTGTTTGAGGAAAGGGTCAAGACTGACTGTTGACTCAATATGACTCAGGCAACGTGTCTTGGCCTGGCCAAGCTTGATGTAGCATGGACCCAGATCAAGTAGAAGCTGACGGAGCTCCCTCGACCTGTAGGCGGATCGAGTACAGCATGACGCATGTCCTCTGATTGAAAAATGACGGTCTCTGCCAGGCTCTGCCTCTCTCTCTATCGTGTGTCTCCACACTCTCCAGCCTCTCCCTGACGATCTCTTCGCCTGTCCGTCCCAAGGCTTCGTCCAGCCTGGCATCAGTCTCCGGTGCTACCCGGTGCTAAGAGAATTTTTCAATTGTTTAAAGCCCGGGGGGAAGGCCGCTAGGAAGTGAGGTAGGTAGTGGTAGCTACGTGAGGAACGTGTCAAACCTCTTATGTGTTGTAGTGTGCACTCTTCCCAACGTGATCGTTTTTCTGTGAACCTGGTAACCTTATATATCGTTTTTGAGGCTTTGGACGCACCTAAGAACATGTACTAAAGCCTTATCGTTTTTTGGTGAACCTTATCGTTCCTGAAGGTTTTCTTCACTTTACTTACTTAGTCTTCACTGTAGTGACGCTGCCTTCACCGGAGGTTTTGGCAGTTGCTTACGTAGCTAGTAGCTTAAGTAACTAGTAGCTAGGTAGCTACTACTTAGGACGCAGGATAGCTCGCGCTTCTTCAAGGAAGCTCACCCCACCGCCCTAAAGGTGGCGGGGGAAGCTTTCTTGAAGAAGCGCGAGCTATCCTGCGTTGGTTTCTAGATTTTTCGGAACACTTAACTATCAGTGGATTCGAAACAAAGCTGAGACGGCTTATGGTCTTTGGGATACGTATACTGATATCCAACGACTTTCCGGCAAACAACTCTGCGTAGAGGCCAAAGGACTAACGTTAAAGTTCTTTTAAGTATTTTCATTCATTTTGTCGAAGAAGCACTGCAGCAAGTTATCCGAGGTGACCACAAGCAGTACTGGAACACACTACTGGACCTGTCGAGACCTGGACAAAAAAAAATGGGTGTTGTTCAATCTTGCATCTTGCGAGTCGTTGCCTTCACCAAATCGTTTTTCATGGTGTGAAGAATCAAACGTTAAACTATTTTGCGATTTTGACCTTGATTCTCAAGAGGATTTGGAGACCTTGGAAAACTCATGCATCCAATTGGATCTTCAGTGAATTTGGACGTCACTCTTTATTTACTTGATTGTCAAAAAGATCGGATACAAAACATCATCTTTGCAGACCAGTTGACCCAGTTGACCATATAAATTGCCGCATGTTTGCTTGCCTTGCGTTTTACCGGCAGTCACCCATTGTGGTGCGTGACTTGTCAACTTGAAACTGTTATCATTGGCACGGCCGATGAAGACCACCGCCCCTGCAACTTGCTGGAATGTTCACTTCTCAAACAACTTTGCACTAAAGGCTGCTGAAATCTCAGAAGAGTTTCGCTGTGGCAAAAGTACAGTATGCTAAAGTTGTATATGAGTAAGCAGTAAGCATCAACGCCGAGCCCACATCGGTGAATACTGTCGCATGACATGGACTTGAATCAATCTGAGCCAGTGGCTTTAGCACGACATAGTATCGCCCAAGCTGGGAAACAACCTGAACATGTCACAACAACCGTGAGTTTTATCAGCATGTTCAAAATAATCACACCATGATTGAACAGAAAATGGCCACCTGCATACCACGCCCGAAAACTGCGAGTGGATTCTCAAGAGCTGCTGCTTCTACCTGCATAGAAGCACCATTTTAAAAAGAAAGAAATGCGTCTCAAACACAGAGAATGGTGAATGGTTGTGGCGCTGTGTAGAGTAGGATCTTCCAAATGATGTTCCAAATGATGCCTTGCCTGTGGCAGAGTGGAAAGTAAGAAGTGGCTAGCACGTACATACATATATATGTATATATATATAGTTCTTCACTTCAGTTGAACTGCCACTCCCACCCCTCCTGAGCAGCATCATACACATCCGCCTTGCTTCTCCTAAAGCAGTGGCATGAATGGGCCTTTCTGATGTACTGTATGTCTTGCCAAACTTCCGATACGATTCGGACTCGCCTTTGTTACTGTGTTTTACAGGATCAGCTCAGATTCACTAGCTAACCTAGCTAACCCTGTCTAGCCGTTAAGCGTCCCTTGTGAAAGTACACGCTACGGGGTCCATAGGGATGAGGTGAATTTCAACACCCCGCTTTACTAGAAAATCTCGGGGAGGAACAGATCCTAGCGACGAAGGAATCATATTAGAAATCCCTCATCAAGCTCGTGCATGCACTGTACAAGGACAACATGGCTACCCTAATGTACAACCCATGCCTTCATTCGGCGTGTTGTTACACATGCTGATCCTGGCTCTAAGATTTTGATTAAAAGTTCACTCTCCGCCTAAAGCAATCCAGTTACGGATGCTATCCTACGTGAAAATCTGTGGTGAAACATCATCTCACTGCGGGTCAACACTCATAGGCTGTAAGGGCTTAACAGTTATGGTAGCTGTCCAAAACTTCATATCAATCAACATGCGTATAGCCAAACCTTGCTGTGTAGTCATACCAACCATTCAATTCAGCATCCACGCCCAAAGTTCCATATGATTAGGCCAATAATTCTCACCCCGCTCATCATCTCGTTGCCATGCGACGCCAGGAAAATCAAACGGTTCCAATGGCCTTGTATCTGAAGCAGGAAAATTCTTGGGCATCGGTCACAATTACGGGAGTATGCGATGAGGAGGGTGAACTTGGCGGCAAAGGTGGAGGCGGCACATGGTGATAACGTGGACCATCTCGAGACTTGTTCCGGCGCTTGCCTTGCCCCTTTCCTTTTACGGAAGTATCTGGTTGTAGTCGACTGTAAAGTTCACTCAAAGGCGGTGGCTTTGGAACAAGGTTGAACTCGGGTGGCTTGGCTTGCGCAGGAACGGTGGAACTCACTGGAGGATCTTTCACAGGTGGCCTTGCTGCTGGTGACAAGCCTGGCATTGGTGGATGACCCGGTGGTGGTGGAACTTGCCCACAGTGGGCAGCTTTGGTGCAGCTGGGTTTGGCACTGGTGGTACCTTTGGTGGTGGAGTTGAAGGTGGCCTCGGAACGGGAGGGTTCTGAATTGGTGGGGGTTGGTGCTGAATTGGAGGAGCAAGTAGGTCCTTCGGGATATTGCTCCTCTTCGGAGGCATCAACATCCTACCAACCGAACCACAAGGCTTCCCTTTTACGGGAGCCGTCATCTGTAGGTCCATCGCCCTCAACTTCAGGCAATGGTGGCTGCTTTGCCTCGGGAGGCTGCCATGCGGCCCTTGCATTCTGCTCATGCCGGGAACAAAGCTTGCTGGATGACCCTTTGGTGCAATCGGCGGGTCAGGCACGACGTTCCGTTTAGGGAAGTTTTCCTTCGGAGGAACTGGTGCTCGAGGAGTAGGAGGAGGTCTGCAAACTGACACTGTACGCGTCCCAGTTACGGGTTTTGGAATAGCAGGTGGAGGAACTCTGTCGTCCGACCAAGTTGCAAAACATCCAGCGTCGTCGCGATCCTCCTTCTTCTTCCACTGAAAACGTGGCCTCTTGTCAACATCCGTTGCGCCAACACTCGAAGATGAAGCACGTTTGCGTTGAAGCGGCTGCCTTGTTTCAGGCGCTGCTGGCGAGGGTGCATCACGTTGACCAAACTCCAAAAGGAGTACCTCAAGCCGGTGGACTTCGCCTACACCTATGTCCTGGCCAGCGTCGGCAGCAAACTTCGGGAGAGGGGTCGCGATCCCCTGCTCGATGTTCATGAAGCCGAACTCATCAAGCGCCTTGCCCCTGCTCCGTTCTTGCATATTCACTGATTGTTGAGCGTTGTGTTGATACTGTGCAATTGCATACTGTTCGTTCTGAAGTGCAAATTTACGTAGAACATTGTAAATACCAACAATATCGCCGCGGGGAATACGGATGTTGTGAACATCTCCGTATACGTCGTCCGTCGGAATGAAGCCTTGAATTTTGACTTCATCACGGCTATTGCCAATTACGGCCGCATATTGGCGGAGCGACATGAATTCCCTGCGATAGCTCATCAAAAAGTTCTCGCTGAGACCTGCTTTAAAGCCAAGTATGCAAATGGTCAACTCCACATCGAATAAAAGCTAACTTTGCAAGGCCTGCACGATCTTCAGGCTGCAATTCGCTCACGACGGACTTTCCCTTCGGTCGCTGTTTGGCAGATCGAGAGGGAGCTGGCAATTGCAGTGACGCAAACCCTCTCCGGTCAAGGAGGTAGCAAAAGCATCATCTCGATTGAAGCGGTCATAGACATCCTCATAGCCTTGCTTGAGAGCTCGACGCAACCTGCTGCGGGCTGTAATCACCATTTGACTATCCATTGAAGGGTCACCTCGTGGAGGAGGTCGGCCTGGCTGCATGCCTTGTCCGGCAACGCTGCTAAGCACGCTTTCAGAAGTGAGGTTTGTAGGTAGGCCCCCCTGTTGATGGGTCTTGGCACTTCGCATCTGTAGCCTCATAAATTTAGAAACAGGCCCGTCTGTAGATCTGCTCTGAAATACCGTACCGCATCTGTAACAAGACGCCATTCCGGTTAAGGAAAGCGTAGTCGCTGCAGCTGAATGTACGGAGATGAAGGAAATGACCACTTTCAATGGGTCCAACTTCTGTACGACCTGTTGCTTCCATCTCCTCTTTCTTCACCGCGCTGCTATGGGCTGCGCGCTCTTCCGGCGTCTCTTCATTTGCATCAATCGCAGCCTCTTCTTTAATAATGAGCTCGACCTCCTCTTGCTTGGTGCCCGGCTCAATCTTGGTCGGGTCGATTGCAACAGGCCTGGAGTAGAAGACTTCGGGCTCCGCATTTACTCGGGCTTTGGTCGCAAACAATACGCATGTATTGGGCACATGGTGGCTGGCGATGATCGCGCCCGAATTCGTCAAAAACAAGTCAACACCAGCCACGATGACCTCGGCAGTGGAAAAGCACAACTCAATAGGTCGATCGGCCCTGACACCTGAAAGCTCTTCTGGTTCCCCAGAGGTATGATCGAAAAGAATGAATTTCCTTTCGATTTCTTTCCACCAACTCCTCCGCCAGGTAGAAGACCATTGGCAATGATCGACCGAGCCGCTTGCTCGTGAGTGCGCGCGCGCGGTCAAATTCAACCTGTAACGGTGAGCATGGTCAGGACGACAAAAGACTAATTTTGCAAGGGCCTCATTCGACCGGGTCTCTAAAACATCGTCTGTGTGACCCTGGCCACACCTCACCTTCACAGGGGCTTCATGCAACTGAAGCGCTTCGCTGAAGGTGGAGTCCGACACGCATTGAAAATCAAAACGATCCTTGTCATCGTAAATTGCCATTGAAATGAAATTGTAAACATTGTGAAACTATCTGCAAACTTCGGAAATCGGGAAGCCGCTATCTCCAGCACCTTGTAAATGGGTAAATAGCACGCCGGGTCATAAATGGAAATATCGTTGACATGACCACGGAGAATACCCGAAATTGCACGCCTAACATACTCGAACTCCCAGGGTCCGCCATGAGCATCTTCGTATTATGCATAATATTACCTATGACCCGTAATGTGGCGCAAAGTGTACTGAACGGCGTCTTTTCCCAAATCCTCTTCCAAAAGTTGCAAATTGCCGTTGCCAATCGACTTCAACAGGTGATCCGGGTAAGGATACCGACCAAGGACTTCGGTGACCTCAACGTCCATGTTCTTGAACTCCGGGGCGGGCGCAAGTCACTGGTGAGAGTGCCTTTGCCTTTTCCTGAGTACTTGGGCTCCGGCTTCTCGTCCAGCTCGTCAGTTACGGGAGCCTGGGCAGGTGTCCCTTGCCCCCTTTCCGCGTCTCCGCGGAATTGGTGCACGCGACGTTGATGGAGCTGACGTACCACCATAGGGGTCCTCGTCGTCATCGATGTCGACAGCAACATTGAATTCTGAATCCTTCATGGAATTTGAAATAGGAACATTTGCAGTCTCCACTGTATTGGTTGTCTGCAAATCGTCCAAAACATCCAGCACTTGAGCCTCAACCTGCATCATTTGTTGTTCTTCTTCTCGCGACAAGGCAGTTACGCCTGTAGGTGTCTTCTCTGGCTCAAGGAAGGGCTTCTCTTCCTCCATGACTGTGTCCTCAACGCTCTCCTCGACGATCGGCTCACCAACTGTCAGCTTGGCAGTTACGCCGGCCTCATCAACAATGTCGTCGACGTTCCCGATCAGCGTCCCTTCCTTCTGAGGGAGATCATCATCGGCAGTCGCGTTGAGGAACTGCAAGAGCTCTTGTGGATCTTCGCCTTCCAGGTTAACGGAGGCTTTGAGCTTGTCAACAGAGACGTCGTTTGTATCAAACGGACTAGCCGCTTGAATTTCCTCGACTGTAAATTGACGACTCTTGCCAATCGGCTGCTTGTGTCTTGCAATTCGCTCCTTAGTCATTCTCCAACCACACGCAAAATAGCAATGTTGCTCTGCGTAGGAGCGCCACCATCGTCTTCCCATCTGTACTTGAAGCGCTGAACACGATTCAATGCGGCAATTCCCTCTCGGGAAGCGTTGACGATGTTGGCATGGTAGAACAAATTCAGGAACCGGCACAATGAACAAATTGACTGTAGATACAACATAATTCACAAATTTGTCAACATTTTCCTGTGTCCTCCTGAGATGCCAACGATCAACGCGGTCTGACTGAAATACAAGATTGCTTGGCTCAAATCTAGGAATACCAAGTTCGTCAATGACCTCATAGATCTTGTCCCAGAACTCGTCCACGTAGCTGGGCATCTCGAAGATGTAGGACCTGACACCACACAAACAAACAAATTCGTCCGAAATGTGTTTGCATCGCGACAACCTCTTTACAGTGCCCAAAATGCGAGCTTCTGCGCCGGACCGGTCAGGGTTGGCCATCTCATGCCCCCACGGGAGCTCGTAGTCGCAAATGCCATTCCGACCAACAAGTTCATTGCCATTCCAC